AGAAGGTTAACAGGCATTTTCTTAAAAACTGACATCAGACTTTTTCAGGAAGCAATGGTCTGTCTGCAAAGGGTGTGCAGTCCTCAAAAGCAGACTAGAAAATCTTACATGAGATAAAAAAGAATTTGTTCTCGGGAGAGAATGAAAAGTTTGGAGAACAAGAAAGATCAATAGAAGGAGAGAGAAGAGGTGGAAAGTGGAGGGAGACTGGGATCAATTCCAGGGAAGAGCTAGTCTAGTTTTAAGAAGGATAAATGCTGTAGTTTGTGTCTAGATGTCCCCCAAAAAGCCTCATGAGATCATAAGTGTGACTTTTTGGAGGTGGTTGGATCTGGGCGTGTGAATGCAGATTAAGGAAGTGTGAATATGGATTAAGGGTGTGATTACTAAATTGATCCTCTGATTGGTTTAGGATAGTTCTAGGTATGGAAGGATTCAGGGAAGCCTCATCTGGGTGTGACTGGCACCACCCAAAAGGCATGTAGGTTGGCTGGAATAAAAGGAAGGGAGGCTTGGAGCTGCTTCTTCTCTGCTTGCCATCTCCTGCTTACCCTGCCATGGACTGTTTCTCTAGGAGCCCCCTCTGCCATGCTTCCCTGCATCAACTGAATCCTCTACAAGCTGAGAGCCAAAATAAACCTTTCCTCTGTTAACCTGTAGGTATCTTATGTTTTTTCTCAGCAATGATAAAAGTAACTAAGACACTAAATTGTACTGTCCTTTGCTTTATTATTGTTTTGAGATTATTATGTAAACCAGTGGTTCTCTAAGTGTGAATCTACTTAGTAGCACCAGTATACCCTGGGAACTAGTTAGACGTGCAGATTCTCAGGTCTCATCCCAGATGTCTTAACAAACCCTACAGATCATTCTGAAATCCTCTAGGTTTGAGAGCCATAGAGACAATCCTCCTACCTGCTACTCACTATACTCAATTCCAATAAAGTCTAGAGACATCCATAGATTCATTTTTTGTTCTTGTTGGAGATGATACTGAAATTGAAGAAGAGTTGAGTTTCTCATTTGGGGTGTCACATGGTAAGTAGTGGGGGGTCCTATAAGTTACAAGGACAGAGATATCCAGAAATTTGGAGAAATACTCAGACTTCCACAGGCCCAGGGACTAAGGGAATTGTGGCTACTGTCCCTGGGTTCTGCAGAGCTGAGAGGGCCACCTGCCGTGCTTCTATGAGTTTACCTTGCACTCCTCACATAGCTATTTCATATCTTCCCCATCATGCTCCCCACATTCCCTGCTTGCTCTCAACATAGGACTTTGCACGGAGGAAAGACAATCATGAAATAGCAACAATCTCATACTCCTTTCAGTAGATCTAAAAAAAAATTTTACCACTTTTCCTGCTGTGTCTCTTGCCCAGCTCAGGTGGGTAGGGCATCTCTGATGGACCCTTCACCTGCTTTCTAGGTCCCATCCATTCTAGGATTTCATTCCTAAACCCAGCCTCAAGAATCGGCTGCAGAGCTTTGGGAAAACCTTGAATCTAGGGCTGTACTCCAGACCAATTATATCAGAAGGTCTGCGGGTGGGGATAGAAGCAGTGATGGGGTGTAAAGCTCCTTAGCTGATTGCAATGTTCAGCCAAGGCTGGGAGCCAAGGCTTTACTGCCCTTTCTCTGGGCAGTAAACTTCTGCTACTGGTTCATCTCCATCACCATAAAATCACACCCACACTCTCTTGTCTTTAAAAAAGTTCTCTACAAAATACCTTCTTAGAGAAGTTGGTGGTGCCGCATCTACACTGTCCACTGTCAGTTACACTATGGGCTATGCCCATCTCCCTAGGTTCTGCCCCATTGCTTTGGTGAAACAGTTCTTTCCAAGATTGACAAGGAAGCTCATGTTTCTCCATAAGGCACGATCACTTTTTTCCTATCCAATTCAACAGAATACATCACTGTCTTCTAAAGTCAATTGATACACAAGAGTCTATGGTTTGATTTCCTCGTACCAGTGACTGCTCCTTTTCAGTTTCCTTAGCCGGCTTCTCTTTGTCTCGACTGTAATTGCTGAGGATCATGAATCCATTTGTGTTCCTTCTCACACTTGGTGGTGCCCATGCTGTATCTCCTTTGGGTTTTACATTCACCTATGCAAGTGCTTTTTAGGCACCTTCACTCAGCTGTCTCACAGATACCACCAAATTAACAATTCCCTGTGCATCTCTTAGTTTCCTCCTTTGATTGCCCTTTTCTTCCCCTGATATCCCAGCTCTGAAAATGGCACCACTAGCATCTTGGTTGGGCAATGCAGACATCTAGAGTTATCCTTGATTCCTTTCTTTTTGACCTTTCATCTTTAGTCCTTCTGCAATTTCTAGCCTATGCTCAAAGTAGCTCTACCATCCATCTCCCACGCTCAGCCCTTGGCCATGCCCTAGTCCAGGCTGTTGTGGTCTTTGCGTTGGATCACAGCTTTCAACCTGATCTCTCTGGTTTTAATTTCAGCTTCTTTCAATCCTTTCTCTCTCCAATAATGCATAAGAGAGGCCCCTCATTCATAATATGGCCTTTAGGGCAGAGATCACATTATTTCCAGGTCTAGGCAACTTTCTGAACAGAAGTTCTGGGAGCTGCTTCCAATGGGTGCAACTCAAGACCAAGGCAGTCATTAGGTGATCAGATCTTATTAAATATTATTAGACATGAATGATTCTTCTGCATACTCAGAATTCCTCACCAGAGGAACAGCCATGTGAGCTGCAATGCATTTTGGGCAAATGATGAGATTCAGAAAAACCGTGAAGAAACTGAAGTTTGAGATATATCATATCATTCTTTAAACGCCCCAGAGAGCTCGATTCTAGACATTTGAGGCCTGTAGGTTTCATTTTGTAAGTCAATAATAGAGTCCTGACTTATTTATTTTGTAAGTATAGATTTTTTTGAAAGTACAATTTTCCTAGAAAAGACCATTTCCTACATTTGTTTCTATTCAAACCTCTGCTATAGTTGACATTGAGAATGATCCAGCAGGGCCTCATAAGCTCCTAGGCAGGGCTTTTGAAGGAGGATTGGACAAAAGAATCCCATAACTGACTTCTTGTTCGGAAGCAGGCTCTAGTCAGAAGAGCCAAGCCACTGGGAGTGTGATGGGGAAGGTTCATCTCCCTCCCAGCTTTCCCCTTCTCTCACTGCTTCCTGGCCACCATGAGGTGAGCAGCTCTCTTCCGCCAGACCCTTCCACCGTGCTTTCCACCTTGGAGCTGGCCAACCACAGACTGGAAACTTGACCCCAAATAAGCCTCTCCTTACATTGTGGGTGTCAGGTATTTTGGCCTACTGGTAAGAAAAGTGATTAAGATAATGTCCTTTGGGGGCTGGGGATTTAGCTCAGTGACATAAGTGCCTGCCTTTCAAGCAGGCAGTCGTGAGTTCGATCCCCGGTACCGATAAAAAGGAAAAAAGACAAAAAAAAAAAAAAAAAAGATAATGTCCTTTGCCAGTTCCTCTATTGGTGTTCCTGAGGGTTTGATAAGTTCTTCTCTTACCTTCTCTCTCCTCCCTAGGTGTAGCTGACTCCTAAATTCACCTCTGATTCATACACCTGGTTATCATTTCTTTGTGGATAGCTATAATTAGGTCCAGCCATCTCTGTGTCTAGTGCCACATCGGCAGATACAAAATGATTTATGTCTGACTGATGAGATTGATGAAACTACTATAAATAGGAGTTCACTTTTGAATTGTACATGGCCCAGGTAGTGTCTCTAGTTAGTATTCTCCTTGAACTTCACTCTCACAGATAAATGGAAGTATTCAAAAACTCCTGGGCATGATGGCACATGCCTATAATCCCAGCACTCAGGAGGCTGAGGCAGGAGGATGTCTGTGAGTTCAAGGCCAGCCTGGGCTACAAAGTGAATTCAAGACCTGCTTGAACTACATAGTGATATTCTGTCTTAACAAAACAAAACAAAAATGTTTAGAAGGAGATGATGAAAACGAATGTGTGAGGAATATAGGATCAGTATGGTCTCATACTGTTGGAACTGTTAATTGAAAGAAAAGGGCAGAACTATCCAGATTTATGTTCTGTGTGGGTGGAAAACATTGTTGCCCACTTACTACCTATGTCTAATTCAGATCAATCCTGATCCAAATGTAACTTTCTCAAATAGGAGCCATTCAAAGTCAGTAATAATAGACCATTTGGAAGCTGTGAACTAGCAATGCATATGGATAGCTGAAGACCCTCCTGCTCTTAGCTTGCAGGACAGATATTGTTTCATTACCAAAAATCCAGAGAGAGAGGTCGCTCCCCCAGCGCGCTGAGTCTGCCTCTGTCAGCCCCTGCCCAGGAGTCGGAGCAGACAGAGAGGAGGCTGCAAGGGCGGAAGTGGGAATGGGGAGACGCTGAGTGTTACTGGATGGTTAAATTGAATCCATAGAGGACGGCTGAGTTGGCTGAGTTTATCTGAACATAACTAAGTTAAGCTTCCGCAGAAGGCAGAAAGGAAGACTCAACATAGCATTAGAGATTAAGTTGTGCTATATTAAAATACAGTGATATGTTTGTATGTTCGGGGGTATGATTTGAGAAATGTGCACCCATTGTGCACACAAACAAGTCTGTGGGACATTGTAGGCGCTGTTTGTGAATTAATGAGATCGAGAAGCTCCATGATGGAAATGGTTGATTTTTTGAGTCAGAGTCATGGACTCCGTTAGTTTTAAAAGTCAGTTAAGCAGCCCATTTCGTGTGTAGGGGAACAGCGCACAGAGGCTGCTCTCTGCACACGCAGCTCCACAATTCATTAACTGTGCAACCTGGAGCAATCTCCAGCGAATTCCTGGATGAATGTGCTGCAGCCTTAAGGTCACACAGACAGGTTTCATGGCCACACACAGTCAGGCCCACTCTTTATCATACACACTGGTGTCCGAAAGAAAGGGTCACGTCCTCCGGATAATCCTGCTACCTCCCCAAGAAAGATGCCAGAGGTGAGTATTTTTTGCAAGAAAACGAACTCATCCCTTACCTTCGCACCAGGGGTTGAAGAGAATGTAGGTGTCCGTCTCCGGGTTCCGGCGGGTGCGGAGGATGCCGTAGGGGGTCCAGACAGCCACGTACATGCGGAATTTACCCACGATGCATTGGGGGGAGGACTGGATGGACAGGCGGACCGACCTGTCCTCGTTCATGATGACCTTGGCCCCCCACTTTCCGCTCTGCAGCTCGGAGACGATGGGGACTGGGATGTAGGTGCCCTTGTTCTCCTGAGGGTAGCGACCTAGGAGAGGAAAGAGCAGGCGGCCCTGAGTAGACTGCGGAGCCTCGTGGGCTCTCACGTCGTTACTCGGTGGCTGAAGGGAGAAATAGTCCGCTGAAATCATAACACAAGTGTGAATTTCATCACTGCCACCAACAGCACGGTAGTGGTTTCTTCCAAGCTGAAATTTGTCACTCTAAGACAAAGCAAAAAGGACAACAAGCCATGGATTTTCTCTGGTTGGTATCTTAGTCTGTTTTCCATTGCTACTAACATGTACCCCAGCCAGGTAATTTACAAAAAAAAAAAAAAAAAAAAAAAAAAGCAGGTTTATTATGGGTTATGGTGGTCCACATCCGGCAATGGCCTTTCTGCTGGCCTAGTCTGAGTCCTGGGCTCCCTGTTCTTTGAAGCCACCAGGATCGCATTGTGGAATCCCCACCCTGATGCTCTGCTCTAATCCAATCATCTTCCAAAGCCCCCGTCTCTAAACCCACGGTCAGGGTCAGTTTCTACCTTCTTCCTGCTCCTGCCCGTGTTAAATTTTAGTGTGCGTTTGGGAGGAGACAAACTGTATTCAAAGCACAGTGGTTAGTTACACGGTGATTCCAAACAAGATGCACAAATGCTGATTTGGTTACAGAGCTAATAGGATACCTTGGGGTATCAGTTCCTGAAATTGTACTCTCTAAAACACTAAAGTTGTTTTATTAGCTAGTAGTATTACAGTTTTGGAAACCATAAGACAAATGCTTTTTGTTTATTTTAAATACAGTTACATTATTCATTTTAGTAATAGCATTGTCTTTTTAGGACAATAACGATATTTTAATAAGGTTATACTAATAGGTTGCCAATATACAACCCTTTTTATACTCACCCCGAACATGTGTTTGTTTTCAGTCTCTTTCATGACTTAGACTTGTGCGACAAGCAACAGATAAACTTAGGGGCCCACTGGCAGGTGACTTGGGTTTGAATCTTGCCTCTACTACATCATATGCTGCAATTTCTAGCAAATTACCCATGTCCTTCCTCTTATCTTCATCAATAAGTAAGGTTAATCATCCTGTGCATGTCACAGACAAAATAACAAATGTTGGTGCTGTGTAATTTCTCTCATGTGCAATACTTGAAACATCTTAGCTGCTATTTTAACAAAAGTTTTTAATCATATTTTTAGGCTCAGCTGTCTCCGGGTGAGTCTTATTTTCCTTTATAACTACCATTTTGGACCAAATTCTTATTTCATGGTTTTAACTTCAAAATAAATTCTATCAGTGGGTTTTCCAACTGGACATGAAAGATAATCTAACAGCATTCTTTAACTCTTTTAAACAGTTTTCATTGAATAGTTTACTTTGTAAGAAAGACCAAATTCATAGTGATCTAAACTTCAGCAAGGCCAGGTATGATGGTGGATACCTGTGATCCTAGCACTAGGGAAGGCTGAGGCAGGAGGAATCTCTATGAATTAGAGACCAGTCTGGGCTACAAAGTGAGTTCAAGGCCAGTTCTGAACTACATAGTGTAACCCTGTCTCAAAAAGAGAAAAAAATATAATAAACTTCAACAAATTTTCATTAACAGATTTTTCCAAAGTATAAAAAAATGCTGGGGCCAGGGATTTGGCTCAGCGGTATAAGTGCCCACCTGGCAAGAACAAGGTCATGAGTTTGATCCCTGGTAAAAAAAAAAAAAAAAAAAAAAAGAAAAGCCTCCTGTCTTGAAGAAAGACAAATCAGATATAACTGTAAAGTATTTTGATTGTAAGCAAAAGAATCTTCAAAAGTAAAACTGATTTGCTTCCATTGTTTTGTATAAAACATGCAGAGTATTCCACAAACAATGCCACATTTTAGTCTTTCTCATTATTGAAGTCTTTGGAAGGTCCCATGGTGGGCATATTGGCAGAGTCAGAGCTTTCTAAGGACGCGGTTGTATGAATTACTTTTGCGTAAAGCTGAAAGGATGCATGATTTCAATAGACACAGTGATTTACACAGTGCCACCCAGGGAGACAGATCGGAACCCGGTGCTTTGCTAAGTGTGAGGAGTTTTAGTTAATCACATTCAGGGTGACTGTCACATTTGCTCATCATAAACTCAACAAAGACTTGGCCATGGTTTTCCAGCAGTGTGGCACCGTGCTAAGCAGTGCTCTTGGGAACACATGGGGCTCGGTCTCTGAGAAGTCCCTGCCTAAGTCCTGCCCCCAAGAGCAGGGTTTACTCTGGAGGCACCGCTGCTACCCTTTCTGCATTTAGCCTTCCTCTTTGCATGTGTCACCTGAGGGCTGATGCTGCCCCTTTCCCAGGAGGACCTGCCTCTCCCGAGCTCACTGCTGCTGAAGAGAAGACATTAGTCACAATTTCGAGAGGTAAACGGACCTGTAACTCAGTTACCATGGCGCTTCTGCTTAGTACTGGTCTGCCTTTGGAATGTATGGTATTGAAGAAAAGCACATTTTGAAAAAATGAACTTTAAGACAGAATAGTCTATGTAATGACAGATTTTTTTAAAAGGATGAAAAGAGTGTAAAATGAATCACCTTTGAGAATAACAGCACTAGGAGAGTGTGTGTGAATGGTGCTTTTGTGCCCACAGTTGTGCAAACATCAGTGTTACCACTGCATACCCGCTTTGGTTGGGAATAGTGTAAGGACTAACAATCACTAGTTTCTCATACACTGTGAGTATTCTTTATCTGAAATGCTTTTTATTTCAGATTCTTTCAGATTTTGGAATGTTTGCACACATGATGAGAAGCAATGGGGCTGAGACCTTGTCTAAGCACGGTTTCCTAGGCAGCGTATGCATGGGACCTGAAGGTAACTCTGTACCATGTTTTTAATAGACTTGAACATGCAAGAAAGTTTCATGGTGTGGGATTTTCCATCTGTGGAGGGATGCCAGCTCTTAAACAGTTTTGGATTTTGGAGCATTTTAGATTTTGGATTTTTAGATCCAGGATGCTTAATCCTGATTACCCTTTAAATTATGACCTAAAAGACTCACTCAGTTTTTACCTGTGAAAAGTATGGTATACAAAATTAGTAAAGCAAGAGGGTCACGTCTTTGCACGCTGATCTTGCACCAAGTCATAACCTAATCCAAAGATGTTAGTTTGAACATTTTTTTTTCATTCGTGCTACGGTATTTCCTGCTACATGATAGACATGTCTAGAGTTCACAGCACAAGGAAGATCAAATCAGACAATAACTCCTGTGCTCTTACAGTTTATGGGGAAAGTCAATGTCTGTGGTGTTTGCAATGTTCTTACTGCTTCTCTAGTCCTTCCAACCCACCATGCAGAGGAAACCTTTATCGCGGTACTAATTTGGCAAATCAGGAACCTAAGACACAGAATCACTAAGCAAGTTGCCCAGAATGATGCAACTGGCCAGTAGTGAAGTTTACAGTGGGACCAGGCTGTCTGGGTCGAGAGTCTGCGTTCTTAACCACTAAGCTCAAGGCAGTTGTTTTTGTTGAAAGTTCCTTGCAGTCTATGAGAATAAGGTCAAGTTCTGGCCCACAGTTAATTACTAGTGCAAGTTGGTGCAAGCTGCTTCACTGTCCAAGCTTCTACTTCATTGACTTTAATTTCTATGTAGGGAAAGAAAATAGACTTATAATAAAATAAAAGCTCTATGCCTGGCACATGGTAGGGACTGTCGGGGGGGGGGGGCTACTGTTTGTAATTAAAAATGCCCGCTCCTGGCAAAGAAAGGCAGGGAGAAGAAGGAGGTATATTTGCCCCTGCTTCTGAGACACAAGAAGGTGAGGATGTCTCACGGAAAGTTGGTTGCTTTTGTTGATGGAAGTGTTGCAGCCGAGGGGAAAGTCATTCAGCTCTCTGACACTTGCTGTACTACACACTTATCCCTTGGCAGCTAAAACTCTGCTTACTGTGTAGGATGGAGATAACAGTAGCCACAGTTTGTGACGGGTGTGGCACCTACATGAGGAAGTGATGGTTACTGCCCACCTTCGTCTGGGCTTTTTAATTCCTCTAAGTCATCCTTTATCTGCTGCAGCTGTGGAGAGTCAGAATAGGTTCACCAATTACTAACAAACCCACAGAACCCAAATCTACTCCTAAAGGCTGGTGGTAGGTCCCAGATTCAAAGCTCTTGACTTCATTGATCTTTTTTTTTTTCTAGCAGAACTGATATAGGTATAGGCGAATCAGCACCATGCATGGGCCACTACCACCTGGAGACAGCCAGATCCTAGCCTTTTCCTGTGAGTCCCTACCATTCAGGGTCTGCGGGGGAAGAGAAGCAAACCCTCCTGTGAACCAGCACCATGAATGGGCAGCCACCACTGGGGGACTGCCAGACCCCAGCCCCTTCTGGCATACAGCTAGGAAACAAGAGCCAACCCCCCAACTCCCACCCTCAACCTCATAAGTGACTGGCTGATCCAGAGAAACAGGCTGTGATGATAACTATTCAGGTGAGATGCAATTTGATGGGTGTGGTGTTTGGTGACTTTGCAGGTCAAGGGCCAGTGGTCTGATCATCAATTCACAGGACAATGGTACTCAGTGTGGCATCTATAGGGGATCTCCTTTTGAAGGCGGTAGCCATTGTTAATTCCCTATTATCTTGTTTTGAAATTCTGTATCATCTTCATTGTTTTATTGGGTTGGGTTTTATTCTGTTTTGCTTTGTTTGATTTTGTTATATCTGATTGCATAGATAGCTATTTTGGAGATAACAAGACATATCATGGTAGCCATTTTGGATTTACTGTTGTCTTGTTTTGAAGTCCTTTATTGCATTCTTGTTTTGCTTTTATTGGTTCTGTTCTGTTTCGTTTGATTTTACTATGTCTGATGTTATAGGTAGCTATTTTAAAGACAACAAGTAGCATTATGGTAACCATTGTTGATTTTATATTCTTTTAAAGTCCTGTGTCACTTACACTGGTTTGTTCTGATGTTCTGTTTTGTTTTGCTTGGTTTTATTCTCTTTAAAATTAAAAAAAACTCATACAGGTATCAAATATGACGTCA